GTTATTTGAACTAAATTGAAACAACCCATACACATACCATAAAATCGGAAGAAACTATATATGGGAGCTATATCTAGATCTGAATTGATTCCAACACAACTTCGCATACATCAATCTGGACCTAATTAAGTACGCTGTACAAAGTTTTGTCTCTATCGGAACATATATTGGGAGTTTGGTACATCATTTACATAAAATCGGACGAAACTATATATGGGTGCTATATATAAATCTGAACAAATTTTCTCCAATTTCAATAGGGTTAGGCCTTGGGTCAAATAAGTGACCTGTGCCAAATTTCATCCAAATCGGATCATAAATGCGACCTGTACTTTGCTCACAAAAGTACATGCAAATTATTCTATGCATATTCTCAAAAGGAACCATAGATCTATATCGATTCGTTCTGCCTGTTACAAACATATGTACAAAGACATAATACCCTGTACTAGGGACGTACGCAGGGGGGGAGCCCTGGGGGACCCCCCCCCTTAATGAATTTTTTTCACAGTAAATTTATGTTTGCAACAGCGAATTTTTTCATTTTGTACTACCCAAAAAATCCTATTTTTTCAACGCTCAATTTCAGTGGATTAAATATATATATATATATGTATATATAATTTTTTTTTTAAAATTCATATAGATTAAAAATATATATATTTTTTATTGAAATTAAAAAAATATTTTTCCATAAAGGTCTGAATTTTTACACAGGGTGGATCTGTGGACAGATCAGTCTTTTTTTAAACGTGTGTAACATCAATTAACACTTCTTATGCTTTCCAATATCAAGTATGAAAATATTATCATAATTTTAATTGGCTTAAATATGCCTATACAAGTTGTAAAAAAGAAAAAAAATCTTTTCAAATCCCGTTCTGTCCTGGATTTTTTTTTAAAAAATATTTTTTTCAAAATTTTTTTAAATAAAAAATATTACTTATCGAAATTAATATTTATATATATATATATATATATAGATGGATGGATTTTTTTAATATTTTTTCAACCTCTCTATAAGCGTGGATCTATTAAAAAATATATTTTTTTAAGTCTGCGAATCGTTTTGATTTTTACAACGTGCGTAGCATCAATTAACACTTCTAATTTTTTCCAATATCAAGTTTGCAAATATTATCAGAATTTTAATTGACTTGAATATGCCTATTCGAGTTGTAAAAAAGATTTCATCACTTTTTGTTTTGTTTGTTTTTGATTTGAATTGCAGTTAGAAAAAATCACAGTTTGATAAATGAAATGACATTTCAACATTGCGATTTTTTTTGAAATTAGTTACCAGCAGCAAAAACTACTTGACCAATATGATTTTGTGTGTCAAACCGACCAACACATTTATGGGCATTTTGAAAATTTTGTATTATGTTTGTACGCAATTACAAGCTGCCGATTTGAAACACACTCCAACATACGGTTAACTCCTTCGATTTGAAAATAAAAAACACACACACACGCAAAACAACGCCTGGTATTTGCCAAAAATTACAATAGTGGCATGTTAACGGAAAAACGAGTGGCCAAAATCTGTCGATGTTAGCCGTCATTATTGATAGGTTGGGGTGTTAAGTGTGTGGCAAGCGGACGGATACCGGACCGAGTCAGTGTGTTAAAGACGACTAAGTGGACATTTAACATGACTTGCCATGTAGTCCATCATGGCGTTACTGATGACGACGATGATGGTGGTATGTTGATGACAGTAGCATTTTTTTTTTCATTGTTTGTGTTGTAGTTTTTGTTTTATGTCCACTGCACAATTAACAAAACTCTAGACTTTAGCCATGACAAATGGGTTTCTGTTTTTGGTGATTTTTGTCAACAAATTGTTTCCAAATTCGTCCACAAAGATGATATTTTTTTTAAGAACAAGTTTTTTTTTGTTTTTTTGAAAATGTTAAAATTTTTCTTAGCTGTGGAAAAAGAACTGCATGTCACAGCGGTAGTTGTTAATTTTATTAATTAGTACACAATGGCATCGTGAAAAGAACAATGGTATTAAAACAAAAACTACTTTCGATTTTCGGATTGATTATTGAGGTAATAAAAGTGAAATTACTTTCTAATTTTTGTGGAAAACTTAATGAAAAATTAGTTTGGGATTACAAGCTAATAAATGCGAGCACGAAATTTTCAAAGTGTGTGATATTTTTGGTTAAAAACTAAATCTCAAAAATTTTTTTTAAGATTTTACATTTTTTATCTTTTATATATATTTTTTAGTATCCTCAGATGCGTGCATTAAAAAAATTTAAATCCACAAAGACATGGCATTTTTTAAAAGTAAAACATACACAGAGGCCTGAATTCTTTAAACATGTTTTTCAAAATCTTCAGGGGTGTGGATTTTTTAGAAAATAAGTTTTCAACATCCAAAGAAGCGTACATTTTTTTAAGAATATTTTTTAACATCCACAGAGGCTTGGATTTTTTATAGGATATTTTTTTCATATCCAAAGGGGCGTGGATTTTTTTAAGAAAATGTTTTTCAACATCCAAAGAGGCGTGGATATATCAAATATGGAATAGTGAATTTTAAAACATATATTCTTTAGAACCACGAAATTTGTTCAACATTTTTCTTATGCATCCATATAGATGTAGAATTGTTAAAGAATATTTTTTGGAATATATTATAGAACCATGTATAATTTCTTCGTGTGCAAATATTCAGTGTGCTATACTAATTGTTACAAATACTTTGATTTGAGAGAAAATTTTCAGCAGAGTGAATAGTGGACGCGGTTTCGATACATGTAGATCTGTGCTATTGTTGAATAAATTATAAAATTAAATAATTATTAATAAAACAGTGTGTATACAGTTGTTTAAATAAAATAATATTTTCGTAAAAGAAGCAAATAGCAATAAGAGTAAGAGAGTAATTTACAAATAGGAGAACAAAATGATCCCCCCTAAGAGGTTCTACTCCACCAAACAAAATGTTTTTTTTTATCTCAGTTTAATAATTCAAATGTCGCTTCTATATGTACGTGTGCCACACTTAACTTTAATAGCATGACAAAGCAAAATTATGACTGATTATAAATTAATTAAGCTGGTTCTGCTCTCATCGTTTTCTCTGATAGCTCCTATATGTAGAACTTAAATTTAAACTATAATCAGTTTGGCTCGATTTCTAAGAACTCGCTAGGGAGACAAACAAATCTATACGTCATTGATGAAAATCTTATCAATTGGAGAACGAATTTTTTTAAAGAGTCAAATGAAATAGTTAATAAACAAAAACAAGAACCCACGGATATCAATTTGCGAGTATATAAACGACAACTTAAGGCGTAGCAAACTTTTCGTATTCATTTCATTTTAGAACGGAGAACGTGCGCGCGGAATAAAACTACCAAAAACGAAGAACAAAATGAGCGTCTATAACGATGATGAATTAACAGCACCCGATTGGATTAATAAAGAGTTTTTGGCAGAAGTTTTAACGAACTATGAACATAATGGACCAGTTGAGGTAAAACGCAAATGTTTTATATTTTTAAAAGATATTAATAGTTTGTTGAATTGTTTTTAGATTATTAAATTTGATATAAGTCCAGCCAGCATGAAGGGTGACCATTATGCCAGTGCCATGTTTCGTTGCAAAACTGAATATCGTTTCGTAAATGATAAGGCCAGTTCCAAAATCCATAAACGTTCCTTGGTCATAAAAACTCTACCAGCTACTGAGTGTATGAAACGTGAAATGTTGATGGAATCAAAGGTATTTGAAACCGAAATACAAATGTTTACCGAAGCCATTCCAAAGATTTCGAAAATCTTGGCACAATGTGGGGAGCCAACCAAATTATCAGCAGAGTAAGTTGAATTTTCTCCAAGGACAAATAATTAAAAAAGGAATGAATATTGTTTAATATTTGAGTGCCAAAAAATCTCAACAAATATACAAATATTAACATCCATAGATGCTATTTTTTTAACTCCAACACTCTGTGAATGGTTTAAAAATAGATATATATTTAAACCCAAGCCTCTATGTATGTTGAAAAAATGTGTGTTTTAAAAACAAAGGCCTCTGTGGGTGTTCTATGGATGTTAAAAAAACGCGCTTCAGAGGATGTGAAAAAAATTATTTTTTTTAATCCAAATCTCTGTTGAAAAGAAAAAAATTAAACTACGCACTACGGCCACTTCATGTAGTTTAATTTTTTTTAGATAAATATGCTTAAAAAATTATATTTCTCTATTTTTCAGAATCATCTATCATTCCTTGAGCCCCAACAAAGTCATAATTTTCGAAGACCTTTGTGAATTGGGTTTCGATACGGTTCGAGGTCGCTATCTAACCGAAGACGAAGTGAAAGGTGTCTATAGCAAATTGGCCAAGCTACATGCTGTTTCCTTTATGTTGGGACACAGTGAAAGCCACGAAGTTGTCTCTAAATATCAAGATGGACTTCTAACTGTTAGTTTGCCCGTGATGAAGGAATTGCTAACGAATGGTTTGAAAAATTTCATAAATCTACTGTCCTCCCACGATGACCTGGCAATTTATGCGGATAAAGTAAAAGCATTAGAAAATGAAATTGATCCAGCCTGTAAAGATCTCTACAATGCCTATCGCCTAAATAATGGACAAGGAGATATTTTCGTACTGAATCATGGAGATTTCCATATGAAAAATTTAATGTTCAAATTTGATGGTGCTAATAAAATGGAGAATTTGATAATGGTTGATTTTCAACTTAGTTGCTACGCGCCATCGATTATTGATTTGATGTATTCACAATTTATGCTCTTGGATACGGAAATGCGCTCGAGACGTAATGAATTTATGCAGTATTATTTTAGTGAATTCACAAGGATTCTGAAAAAAATTAATTATCAAGGAAAAATGCCAAAATATTCAGAATTTCAAATTTCTTCATTGAAATATAGACATTTTGGTGAGTATTAAAATTTGTTGTTTTTTTTTTTATAGTTTTTATTTAATTTTTATTGTTTTTGTTCTGCAGTCATCTTTTTAGTGGCCGTCATGTTACCCATGGTCATTGATTTTATGGGCAAAACTGTGGAGGAATTAAAGGACAGCGACTTCAATGAAATGGTTGAAAATCCCGAAGTTGCTGCTTCAAATTATAAACAACCCGCCTATGTTGCGGAACTGAAGAGATTTTTGCCAATATTATTAAATGAAGGATATTTGGATTAGAAGTTGGGTTATTGTAAATTAATTTTGTAAATAAATAAACAAAGCATGTCAATAATAACAAAGCAGTGGATTTTTTTAAAAAAATATTTTTTCAACATCCACAGAGGCGTGGATTTAAAAAAAAAAACATTTTTTCTACAGAGACATGGATTTAAAAAAAAATATTTCTTTCATCAACCATTTGGGCGCGGTTTTTGAATAAAATTATTTTATCATCAACCATTTAGGCGTGGATTTTTTTAAGTATTTTTTTCGAGACCCAAACTGTCGGATACAGACCTATATCGGCGTAGATTTTTTAGGAATATATTTTCTTAGACCTATAGAGGCGTGGATTTTTTAAAGTATTTTTTTCGAGACCCAAACTGTCGAGGACAGACCTATATCGAAAAAGATTTTTTAGGAAAATTTTTTGTTAGACCTATAGAGGCGTGGATTTTTTAGAGAATATTTTTTGGAAGATCCATATAGATGTGCATTTTTTAAAGAATACATCTTTTTTAAATAATACATTTTTTGCGACTCATATACGCTTTGATTTTTTTAATAAATAATTTTTTGGAGACCCATATAGGCGTAGATTTAATGAATAATTGTTGAAACCCATAAAGGCCTGGATTTATTGATTTTTTAAATAATATTTTTGAAGATCCTAATAGGCGTGAATTTTTTAATGTAATATTTTTCAAGATCCTAATAGTCCTGGATTTTTTAATGAATATTTTTTTCAAGATCGTAATAGGCGTGGATTTATTAAAGAATATTTTTTTCGAGACCCATATAGGCGTGGATTTTCTTAAAGAATATTTTCTTCGAGACCCATATAGGCGTGGATTTTCTTAAAGAATATTTTTTCCGAGACCCATATAGGCGTGGATTTTCTTAAAGAATATTTTTTCCGAGACCCATATAGGCGTGGATTTTCTTAAAGAATATTTTTTTCGAGACCCATATAGGCGTGGATTTTCTTAAAGAATATTTTTTTTCGAGACCCAAATAGGCGTGGATTTTTTTTGGAGACCCATTCATGCCTGGATTTTTAGAGAATATCTTTTTTCGAGACCCATATATGCGTGTCTTTTGGGAGACCGATTCATGCCTGGATTTTTAGAGAATATCTTTTTTCGAGACCCATATAGGCGTGGTTTTTTGGAGACCCATACATGCCTGGATTTTTAGAGAATATCTTTTTTCGAGACCCATATAGGCGTGGATGTTTAAAGAATATTTTGTTTCTAATTTTTTAATAATTGTATTCGGAAGAACACTCAAAACATTAGTGTCTTTTTTATCACTATAATAAAAAAAATCGCCAACTATATCTTATCAGTAAAATTTTATCAATTGTTAAACTCTTGAGATATTTCGTCCCAATATATATATATATATATATATTATATAAACAATAGATTTTACTATTTAGTGTAAAATAATTTTTCAACCCAAACGGTCATTATCGGAAAACAAATAGTTTACAATGAGTTATTACAATGACGATGAGCTGGCTGCACCCGATTGGATAAATAAAGAATTTTTGGAAAAGGTTTTAAAGGAATACCATAACAATGTTGCAGTTGAGGTAGGTACTCAAGGTTCCTTTAATCTATTCCAAACTAATAAATCGATTTTAGATTGTGAAATTCGAACTTAGTCCGGCAAGTATGAAAGGTGATCATTATGCCAGTGTTATGTTTCGTTGTAAAGTGGAATATCGCCTAAATGCCACGACATTGCTAAACAAATCTCTGATAATGAAAACCATACCCAGTGCTGAGGGTATGAAACAAGAAATTCTAAAGAAAACCAAAGTATTTGAAACGGAAATTGGCATGTACACCGAGGCATTGCCCAAGATTTGTCAGATTTTGAAAGAACATGGTGAGGAAACTTTGTTAACAGCAGGGTAAGTTGTTGGCTTTGTATCACCAGTAAAAATTGTGAAGCTAATTTTGAATGCCCTTTCAGAATAATTTATCACTCATTGACACCCCACAAAATTATAATTCTGGAGGACCTTTGTGAATTGGGTTATGACGCGATACGTGGTCGCCATTTAAATGTCCAAGAAGTTAAAGCTGTCTATACGAAATTGGCCAAACTACATGCCGTTTCATTTGCATTGGGTCAAAGTGAAGACCATAAAGTGGTTACAAAATTCCAAGATGGCTTTATGAGCATTAGTATTCCAGCACTCAGTGATTACATGGACAATGGTTTCCGAAATTTCATACAATTATTGGCATCATATCCTGAATTTGAAATTTATCATCAAAAACTAACGGAAATGCAAAAGTATGTGCTCCCATCGTGTAAGAATTTATTCAATTCCTATGTCAATGGAGAGAAGGGCATATTCGTGTTAAATCATGGTGATTTTCATATGAAAAATTTAATGTTTAAATGGGATCGAAATTCGGGAGAAATGGAGGATGTTATTTTATTGGATTATCAGGCTAGCTGTTTTGCTCCTTCCAATATTGATTTGTTGTATTCACAATTTTTATTGCTGAGTCCTGAATTGCGAATGAAACGCAAAGAATTTATGCGTCATTATTTTGTGGAATTTTGTCGGATTTTAAAGAAAATCAAATTTAATGGAGACATGCCGAAATATTCAGAATTTCAAATGGACTGTTTGAAATATCGACATTTTTGTAAGTAAAAACAAATTACCAATTACCAATTCTATAGGAAAAATATTCCTCCATAAATGAACGAATTTTTTTCTATAACAAAATATACCTTCATAGATGAAAGAAATTTTTCTACAAAAAATAGTCTTCCATAGGCGAAAGAATTTTTTTCAATAGAAAAAATTCCATAGATGAAAGAATTTGTTCTATAGAAAAAATAGTCTTCCATAGATGAAAGTTTTTTTTCTATAGATGAAATAAATTTTTTCTATAGAAAAAATATTGTTCCATAGATGAAAGAATTTTTTTCCTATAGAAAAAATATTCTTCCATTGATGAAAGAATTTTTTTCCTATAGAAAAAATATTCTTCCATTGATGAAAGAATTTTTTTCCTATAGAAAAAATATTCTTCCATTGATGAAAGAATTTTTTTCCTATAGAAAAAATATTCTTCCATAGATGAAAGAATTTTTTTCCTATAGAAACAATATTCTTCCATTGATGAAAGAATTGTATTCTATTGAAAAAATATTCTTCCATAGATGAAAGAATTTTTTTCTATTGAAAAAATATTCTTCCATAGATGAAAGATTTTTTTTCTATTGAAAAAATATTCTTCCATAGATGAAAGAATTTTTTTCTATTGAAAAAATATTCTTCCATAGATGAAAGCATTTTTTTCTATTGAAAAAATATTCTTCCATAGATGAAAGAATTTTTTTCTATTGAAAAAATATTCTTCCATAGATGAAAGAATTTTTTTCTATTGAAAAAATATTCTTCCATAGATGAAAGAATTTTTTTCTATTGAAAAAATATTCTTCCATAGATGAAAGAATTTTTTTCCTATAGAAAAAATATTCTTCCATAGACGAAAGAATTTTTTTCCTATAGAAAAAATATTCTTCCATAGATGAAAGATTTTTTTTTCTACAGAAAAAAAACATTCTTCCTACATGATTTTTTTTTCTATAGAAAAAATATGCATTGATCAATGAATGATTTATTTACAGGTATTTATGTTCTTGTGGTTATATATCCCTTGGTTGCCGGATTCTGGGATAAATCGGTTGAGGAATTAAAGGATACAAATACAACTGAAATGGTTGAAAATCCGGATCTGATTGCGGCCAATTACAATAGGCCTGAATTTGTGGAAGAAATGCGCACATTCTTGCCAATATTGTTGGACGAAGGATATTTTGATTAGAAGATTTGAAAAAAAATTCTTTTAATTTTTTTATAATTAAAATAATTATACAATATAAATTGAAATGTAAGCCTTTGATCAGCTCAACGGCCCAAGATATTATCTTTTGAAGGTATTTATTGCCAGTGAACTGTTTCACATTGAAATTAGTGACAGGCCTTAAACTAGGTTAAAGTGATTTTGCCCTTCAAACAGAAAACTGAGGCATGCATATGTCGGCCAAAAATAAAACCTACTTGCAACAGCTGCAGCAGAACAAAATCAAAAAATGCAACAACAACAGCTAAAAAGGCCATGTCGTTTAATTTCATTTCATTTTTTGGTCGTTCGCTTGGTTAGTGGTTGGCTGACAAATAACAATAACACCAGAGCACCACAGAGTGCAGCCGAACTATCTCCACCACAATGACTGACAGGTGATGAAAGTTAAGAAGAAGAAAAGGTAATGTTAAGAAAAGAGAATAAAAAAACAGAAAAAAGATAAAAACAAAAATCACATTAACCTGATGATGATTGGTTCAGGTGAATGTTGACACATTAAAAGAAAAAAAAAATATTTTCCTTTTTTTTGAAGAAAGTAAAACGGCATAAATGCAATTATTATTTGTTGGTATTTTATAGATTACTGAGACATATTTGGGTCATGGAAAACAATAATTGGAAATGGTAACAAAAAACTAAAAATCCCAAAAACCAAAACTTCAAAAGACAACCTGCAAGTTTGTTTCTTAAGTCTTTTGTTTGTCTACTGTATTTGTGGGGGAGTGAGATGTGGGTTGCATTAAAATCGTTTTGATTGATTCATAATACAACTTGAAATATTTCATCATCATCATCATAATTTTTTGTCTACTCTCGCTTCCAACAAGATTTACTGTTTCACTGACTTTTACTTGCACTTTCAATATGTTTTGCAATTTCCATCATCACCGCCATCACCATTTGACTGTGGTTGTGGTGATGGTTGGTGCGTCTGGTCCACCGAAGCTGGATAATTTGTCAATGTATGTAGCAGCAAGTGCAAGAAAACGTGCTTCAAAGAATCATAACAGATATCAATAACGGGATGAGAAACAAGTCTGGTCATTTTGTTTTGCGCGGTGCGGGAAAAAAGGTTTGCTGCAATACAGCCACGGGTCAAAAAATGGATTTTATTCTGTAGTTTTTTCTATAGAAAATAAATCCAATCATCAATTGATGAATGTTTTTCCTATTGGAAAAAAATCATTCATAGAAAAAAATTCTTTCATCTATGGAAGAATGTTTTTTTCTATGGAAAAAATCTTTCATCTATGGAAGAATGTTTTTTCTGTAGAAAAAAATTTCATTGATCTATGGATGAATTTTTTTCCATAGAAAAATGTTCATTCATTTATGGATGAATGTTGTTTCTTTATAGAAAAAAAATTTCATTCATCTATGGATGAATGTTTTTCTCTTTGGAAAAAAATGTCATTCTATGGATGAATGCTTTTTCTATATTTCAATTTTCATTATTTTGTGAATGAAAGGTTTTTCCATACAAACAAAAATATTCTTCTTTCTTTTTTCCAAAATTATAAAAGTTTCTTGATCTCTCATCACTGCCCTCCCTCTGTTACTGGTAACACCATTAAAACATTTGCATACTTGTTGTTAAGTCAGACAGCTTTCGCTCTCATTTGTTTGGTGTTGCATACAACCTGGACAAGTTACAGACAGACAGACGAACTCACACTTTGCAATGTGTCCATACCGGTCAAGTTAAAAACTACCACTACCAGTTACACAAACTATGAGTTGTGAGATTTTGGTTCAGATTCAGATTTTTCAGGCTCTGATGATGACAACAACAGATACTATTGAGGCAAGTTGTTGGACAACGACAACATGGTGGCCACCACCATAAGGATACTGGAAAAAATGACTACATTGATTAGCTTTCGATTTTGTTGCTTATTTTTTATTTATTTATTTGCCATAAATATCGGTGTTAACACCAGTAAATCTTTTGGTAATACCATGAGAGGAACCCGATTTGCTGCTGGCTAGGTGGTGTGAAGTGAGCTGAGCAGTTGGTGGGTATTTTTGTTGGTATCATTTTTTTTACGTTTTTGAATTGAAAAGTGGCAAAAATGTATATTTTAAGGAAAAAAATCTAGAATGGACTTTTGTAAAGAAGAAAATGATTGGTTAAAATTTTCTATAAAAATTAATACGAACAATATATGTATCCATATATAATGTGCATAAATGTTTTTTATATAGAAAAGTTGGCTACTTTCAATGAAAACTCTATTAAAATACTTCTCTGTGAAAACATTGTCGAACACGATTTCTAAAAAAGTTCATCAATCGTTAAACCATCGATGTATGAACATTTCTTACCCATTTCCCACCACAATTTCTAATCAAAAGATGTTTTTTTTTTCTCAAAGAAAAATATTTAAAATATTTTCCCTTCTTTCATATCGTGCCCGCCAAGTTAAATCATTTTAATATATTGTAATAACAATTTATTATATAATAAAACATTAAACATCATCGTCATTATTCTGTCATAAATTGGACATCACATCATCGCAACCCTAGCTGCGGCCTTTACGTGTTGATCACCATCAACACCTTTTTCGAATGGTTAGCATATTTCGGTCTGCATTGAGGCCGACCAACGGCATTTGAAATGGTGCGAATCAACGTCATCGGCAAAACTCTCATTATGGCAGCTTGTTAAAAGCGTCGGCACTTTATTTAAATTCCATTTGGATGTTCCAATGCTGATGATGATGGACATGGAACGGCAGATGACGTTTGACAATAATCAGTCACTCGAACAATGTGGTGTGCCTTCAAATTACCTAATCAAATGGTTGGCAAACTTCTAGAGTAGCCCATGTATGGGGCTATTGAGTGAAGTTATGGGAGGAGAACTCCAATCATCATTATCATCTACATCTGGGCAATTATTGACATGACCATCATCTTCATAACTAATAAGAAATAAAAATATCGGAAAAATTATAAAGGGGGTTTCATGGAATTTATTGAATTAGAGAAGAAAATGGGCAGGGATGGTTGTTATGGGAAAAATTGTGAACAAATTTAAATTGTATGCGGTATGAACAATAAGTTTCATACACAAAAGGCCTTCAAAAGTCCCTCTACAGATAGAAATTTTTTAAAAAATCCATTAATGGAAAAAAAATGTATTGATCGACGAAGACTTTTTTCTATACGGAAAATTTTTTTCGGTCTATAGAGACTTTTTTCTATAGGAAAAAAAATCATCGATCGACGAAGACTTTTTTCTATAGGAAAATTTTTCATCGATCGATGGAGTCTATTTTCTATAGAAAAAAATTTACCGATCATCGGGGACTTCCATCGAACAATGAATACTTTTTTTCGGTTCTATACCATTTAGGATAACATTCATCGATCGAAGATTAATTTTTTCTATAGAAAAAAATCTTTGAGATAATAATATCAAATAATTCATTGAGCGTTCGCTGAATTTTTCTATAGGAAAAAATTCATCGAGAGATACATTTTTTTCTATATAAACTAATTTATAAATCGATAGACTTTTTCCCCAGAAGAAAGTCATTGGCCTATGGAAGTTTTTTTTCAGATAGAAATAAGTTCTCCAAGTGGCCAAGATTACTAATCGTGTGATGATCTTTTCTACATCATGCCTCCATTTGAGCCACTGTATACAAATTGCTATTCATTAGAATGATTGTGAGACCCTTCCCATTTTTTTGTTCATTCCCATAACATTTGCAGATGTCATTAAATTTTATTGACATCTCTCACTGTAGCTGTAGCCTGCATTTCATTTTCCGAATTGCCCTTAAACATGCCACCACATATGCCCTTTCCCGAACGACAAAACGTATCTAATTTCGCTGAGCTCTCACCTTGCAATTTGTTTCATTAGCGTTTGAGGAAGATAAAAATTAATCCAAGAAATGAACAAAAACAATAAATCTTATTAGAATTTTAAATCCTCCATTCGCTCTAGTCGCTGATCAACCAGCCATAACTAATTCCGGTATTAATCTAATGACTGAACATCCAATTTTATGCATGGGGTTCTAGGAAACAACAGAAAAAACTACAACTATAAAGTAAATTGGCATAAAATTAATGGTTATTATTCTAATACCACATAGGTAGGTTAGGTATGTACCCAAGAGGAGGGGTATTCACATCCGCATTGGCCCTTTTCACAACACGATGAACATCATCTGATTGGAAAAATTCTTGGCTGGACATCTTCCACAAAGACTTTGAAGTGTAACGAAGAATTCTTCGCTGGCCAAGTGAAAGCTTCTTCTTTATTATGCAAAAGGTCTGCTGTGCATTTTTATGCCAACATTTATTGTTATGACCGGCAATTAAGGCACATTAGTTGCCTTGCAGATTCTTAGTTGGCCTCACCTCGCGTTAAAGTAACCAAAGAAGCCGCCGCCGTCGCCTAGCCAACTGATTTTTGTATGGCATGATTTGAATGATGAATGTTCTGCTGGTGTCAGTGTACTATGGTCATATTTTGTGTTGAATGCAATTTTGCATTCAATCAGTGAGGCGGTTTGTCCGACTGTTAGTCAACCAGCCAGTCATTTCATTCATTCATTGAGGCATTTGAGCCCTTAATTAACGGCTTACAATTTTTCACCATAAACTTCAATATACACAAAATTACATGCGGTGAACAGTGGATGGAACGTAATTTAATTAAAAATTTATGAATTTTGGAAGATTCTAAACCAAAAATTGAGATATACCCATCTGTGTAGAATGGAAAATCTCTCTCCTATCAAAAGTTGTAGTGAAGAACTTTTGATAGGAGAGAGATTTTCAATGAGCCTATTTTCATGCAGAAATGTTTGCCTTCCTAACCACTGTACATTGCATGTTTATTTGCACTCTATCAAAACACAAGAAGCTCTATTAGCCGATGCATCATTCAGGTCCATTGCCGCAGTCAAATAACTTTATGGACAACATTCTTAGAA